AGTGAATGAATGAGTAAATGAGAGTAAATGAATTAATAAATGAATGAGTGAATAAATAAATGAGTGAATGAGCGAGTAAATGAATTAATAAATGAATGAATGAATGAGTGAACAAATGAATGAGTGAATGAATAAATGAGTGAGTGAATGAATAAATGAGTGAATGAGTGAGTAAATGAATTAATAAATGAATGAGTGAGTGAATGAGAACAAATGAGTGAATGAATAAATGAGCGAGTGAATGGGTGAATAATAAGTAAATGAGTGAATGAGTGAGTAAATGAATTAATAAATGAATGAGTGAATGAGAACAAATGAGTGAATGAATAAATGAGCGAGTGAATAAGTGAATGAATGAGTAAATGAGTGAATGAGTGAGTAAATGAATCAATAAATGAATGAGTGAATGAGTGAACGAATGAATGAATAAATGAGTGAGTGAATGAATGAATGTGAATAAATGAGTGAATGAGTGAATAAAGGAATGAATGAATGAGTGAATGAATAAATGAGTGAGTAAATGAATTAATAAATGAATGAGTGAACAAATGAGTGAATGAATAAATGAGCGAGTGAATGAGTGAATGAATGAGTAAATGAGAGAATGAGCGAGTAAATGAATTAATAAATGAATGAGTGAATGAGTGAACGAATGAGTGAATGAATAAATGAGCAAGTGAATAAATGAGTGAATGAGTGAGTAAATGAATCAATAAATGAATGAGTGAACGAATGAATGAGTGAATGAATAAATGAGTGAGTGAATGAATAAGTGAATGTGAATAAATGAGTGAATGGATGAATAAAGGAATGAATGAGTGAGTGAGTGAGTGAATGAATGAATGAATGAATGAGTCAGTGAGTGAAGGAATGAATCAATGAGTGAAAGACTCAGCCATGGAAAGAGCGTGCAGTAAAGAATTCAGAATCCACATTTCTTGGGATCTTGATGTAAACAAAAATGAAACAATAAGCTCAGTTGAAGAAGTGCTGAGGCCTCCAAAGATCAACCGGCCACTTTGGGTCTCCTGCCCCCTTAAATGGAGAAAGTTGCCCAAAAGTTGCGCGGAGGAAGGGCTGAAACTTCCAACGACTCCTTGCAGCTCTCGTCATTCTCACCGGGGACGCTCCCCATCCCGCCCGCAACGAGTCCCTCCCGCTCAGCGACGACTCTAAAGACCAGGCCGTATATTCGGGGCTATTTCAGGCTGCTCTGGAGCTCTTCAGGTTCACCATCGGCATGGGCGACCTGGAGTACAACGAGAAGTTGAAGTACAGTGACATTGTGATGCTGTTGGTCCTCCTCTTCGTCATCCTGACCTACATCCTCTTGCTCAACATGCTGATTGCCCTGATGAGTGAAACCGTTACCAACGTCTCCGACTACAGCCAGAGCGTCTGGCAGTTGCAGGTAAGGCCCCTTCGATCGGGACGGTGGCCATCTATCTATCTATCTATCTATCTATCTATCTATCTATCTATCTATCTATCTATCTATCTATCTATCTATCTATCTATCTATCTATCTATCTATCTATCTCCATCCACATATTGTGTCTCTCTCCTCTATCTCTTCTCTCTCTCTCTCCCTCTCCCTCTCCTTCTCCTTCTCCCTCCATCCCTCTCTCTCTCACACATCTATCTCTTCTCTCCCTCTCCCTCCCTCCGTCTCTCACATCTATCTTCTCTCCCTCTCCCTCTCCTTCTCCCTCTCCCTCCCTCCTTCTCTCTCACATCTCTTCTCCCTGTCCCTCCCTCCCCCCTCTCTCTCACACATCTCTCTCTTCTCTCCCTCTTCCTCTCCCTCTCCCTGTCCCTCCCTCCTTCTCTCTCACATCTCTCTTCTCTCCCTCTCCCTCCCTCCTTCTCTTTCATATCTATCTCTTCTCTTCCACTCCCTCCTCTCATATCTATCTCTTCTCTCCCTCTCCCTCCTCTTTCATATCTATCTCTTCTCTCCCTCTCCCTTTCCCTTTTCCTCTTCCTCTCCCGTTCCCTCTCTCTCCCTCCCTCCCTCCCTCCTTCCCTCTCTCTCTCCCTCCCTCCTTTCTTCCCTCTCTCTCTCTCTCTCTCTCTCTCTCTCCCTCCCTCCCTCCCTCCCTCCTTCTCTCTCTCTCTCTGATTTATAAGCTCCCTTCACCAACCTCCCTCTATTTGCAGAGAGCCATTGCTATCCTGGAGATAGAGAGAAACTGGATGTGGTGCTGGAAGAAGACCCAGAGAGCCGGCTGTTTCCTCTCCATCGGCTCCGAGGAGAAGAAAGACCAACGGTGGTTTTTCCGGTAAGCTTAACCACGTACCCGCTTGGGGCACGAAACGCGGCCGTTTCAGAAATGGACCTTCCCGTGCTTCTCTCGAGCACAAAAAAGGGTGCAGGAGGCCGAGGGAGACTCGCAAGGTTCCGCGACTGCTACGTATAACTCTGGGGGTCTTTTTCTAGAGTCGAAGAGGTAAACTGGGAAGACTGGAACGAGAAACTCGACGCCCTCAGAGAAGACCCCGCAGGAGTCAACTTTCTGGAGAAGGATTCCTCTCCGGGTAAGACAGGTGCCACAGGGGCGCCAGCAGCTGGTGCCCACAGGTCTCTGTTACTTTCTAAGCTGTGGGTTGGGTTTTGCCAAGCGGCCTTGAAGTGAAAGAAGAGTTGTCGCAGAAAATGGGTTCTGCCTGGCGTGCAACGCTGAATAAACCACACACCAAGGTGGAAATTTACAAAAGCTTTACTCTGCCCACAAGAAAGGACACAGGAACAGCTTACCCCCAGAAATAGTGGGTGCTCCATCACTGGAGATTTTTCAGAAGAGGCTAGACACTCACCTGTCTGAGACGGTATAGGTTCTCCTGCTCAAGAAGGGGGCTGGACTAGAAGACCTCCAGGGTCCCTTCCAGCTCCTAGTCTATTCATAGGGATAAAAATCACAGAATAACAAGAGTTGGAAGAGACCTGGGAGGTCATCTAATCCAACCCCTTGCTCAGGCAGGAGACCCTATGCCATTTCAGACAGGTGGCTGTCTGGTCTCTTCTTAAAAACGTCCAGTGTTGGAGCGCCCACAACTTCCGGTGGCAAGCCGTTCCACTGGTTAATTGTTCTCACTGCTTATTTTTAGGTTGCTTCTCTCCTTGATTATTGCCCATTGCTTCTTGTCTTGCTTTGTTGGCTTTTAAGCATTTAAAAGTCTTCTCTTTCATGGATTTAATAATAATAATAAAGTTGGAAAGGGAACTTGGAGGTCATCTAGTCCAACCCCCTGCTTTTTTTTCCCGATGAAGGGATGATTCCCAACAGACCTGGGCAAATCCATAATACATTTTTATAGATATTCCCACTTCAAGCCATCCCCTCTCAGATCATCCTAAGACCCCACTAATGTTTATTAATATTGCTTAGGATGCAGGCGCAATACAAGCCAACAGGTAGGTCCTTGACCGATCGCCAGAATTGAGCTCCGCATTTATGTTGCTAAGTGAGAAATTTGTGAAGGGAGTTTAGCCCCATTTTACGACCTTTCTTGCCACATCTGTTAAGCGAATCACTGCAGTAGTTAAGTCAGTGACACGGTTGTTAAGTGAATCTGGTTTCCCCCCCCCCCCATTGACTTTGCTGGTCAGAAGATCACACAAGGGCAGGGGTAGGGAACCTCGGCTGTTTATGACTCGTGGACTTCAACTCCCAGAATTCCTGAGCCAGCCATGCTGAGGGGAAAGGGAGAGGTTTCCATGCTGAGCCATGCTGGCTCAGGAATTCTGGGAGTTGAAGTCCACCAGTCATGCAGGGGGCCATAGTTCCCCCATGCTGACTCAGGAATTCTGGGAGTTGAAGTCCACGAGTCATGAAGGGGGCCATAATTCCCCCATGCCGACTCAGGAATTCTGGGAGTTGAAGTCCACCAGTCATGCAGGGGGCCATAGTTCCCCCATGCTGGCTCAGGAATTCTGGGAGTTGAAGTCCACGAGTCATGAAGGGGCCGTAGTTCCCCCATGCTGGCTCAGGAATTCTGGGAGTTGAAGTCCACGAGTCATGAAGGGGCCGTAGTTCCCCCA